TCGGCGCTGGGCTGGCATGGAATGTTCAGGTGCACAGCTAGAGCTGCATGGGTAAATGTTCACCTTCAGGAGTCGCCCGTGTTTCAGGAGGAAGCAGGATGATATTTCATCTGTCAGGGCAAAAACTCATTGTGTTTTCTCTTTCTCCTGTAGGTGCAGGTAGCTGTCTGGAGACTCTAGAAAAAGGAAAACCACTAATAGTAGTAATAAATGAAAAGCTGATGAACAACCATCAGCTTGAACTGGCAAAACAGCTCCACAAAGATGGGCACGTCCTCCGCTGTAATTGCAGGTATGGAGCTGCTGTGGCTGTCCTGACTGAACAAGCAGCGCTGAGCATCATCGCTCTGTCATACTACAGTATTGAGAATGTAACAAGGAAATTTATATCATTCTCTGTAACAACCATTTGTTTGCAAGGTAGATTTTCAATAGTGGATAGATTAACATTAGGTGCTAATTTACCAAACTTACCAAGCCTTTTCACCATGACTCCTTTTAAATTTTGTTTTTGAGGGCTCATGTATTCAGACTGAAAGAAGAGCAATTTAAACCAAATAACCAAATTTAAACCAAATAACCAAATAACAAGTGGTTGAATTTGGAACAGTCGGGTAGCATCCTAGAGGCACCTCACGGCTTCTCTCTTTCTCTGCTTTTTCTCACTAGTTGTTTGATTCTTTTTCAAAGTCTAGAAATAATACAACCCAGGCCTTCAGTTTGTAACCATGAGCTATAAGGAATAAATTGCTCCCTGCAGACTTAGGACTCCATTTCATCATTTTTCTGTGTGGATTTTCCTTGTAAAGGGAACTAAAGTTGACTGTATGGATGTACTGATATAATAAAATTGAAAGTACCTGGAGTATTTAGAACAAAACATAAGAATGGCCTTACTGATACGGATCAGGAGTCCACGTAGCTCCGTATCCTGTTTGCGGTGGCCATATGCAGATGCCCAGCCAAAAGTAGAAACGGGGCAAGAATGTGTGGTACCTTCCTTGTATTACTTCCCCTCTAGTGCTCTTAAGTACTTTGATTAAGGAGGATTCCTAAACCAGATGCTGTCTGGTGGTAACTTTCAATACCTGTCTTCGAAGTGCTTATTCAGCTTGCCCTTTTAACCAAACTTCCTGAATCCACCACATCCTCTGACAAGGAGTGTCACCCCTGTCACTTCAGGGGAAAACCAAACCCAAACAAACTACCAAACACCCCCAACAACAACAACAAAACCAGCTGCTTGCTTTTGTTTTCATCCTGGCTCCTGTTAGTTTCATTTGCTCTCGTTTTGACTCTTACTGTTTTTATTTATGATTGATTGCACTCTGTAAATAACAGACGACCTCTAAATTGAAGGCAGAGGAAATGCAACTTCCATTATTTAGTCTGCATCTTGTTCCTTTGCCCTGCAAATAGGATTTTGTATTTTCAGAAGAGCCTTCTGAAAAGACTAGGCCTGTCATTCATTTATATTGGGCAAGTTTCTTAAACTTACTATCTCAGTGCTTCTGACAGCTTCAGAGACAGGAAGGAGGTGGTTTGTTTTTGTTGTTGAACAGTGCCTAGCATTTGAGCCTTATTTGCAGTCTGATAATAGCAAGCTAACATTGATTTAGCTGTTATTTCTGGCTACATGTGGAGAACTATGCCGTGTGTTCAAATAGGATGAATTTCCTGGTACGGTTTATTGTGAAGATCCTCAGATCTTGTTCAGTCTCCCAACATTGCAACCACAGAACATTAAAAAGTTAAGAGCTGAGGTTGTCTGTATAAAGTGTGTTCTCAGCAGTGCTGCCTATGAGCCAGCGATGGTTGGGGCCCGCTGGTTTGTGGGGTCTCTTCCTTTCAGCACATGTCCTTATTTTTGTTTCTGTGCTAAAGGATTATGTATGTATGAATAGAAAGAAAATTGTGTGAAGAAAAAAATTCCCTTTGGGATCGATTTTTTTTTTTTTTTTTAATTTTTGGTTTTGGTCTGTTTTTACAGCACTCTTGTGGAGACACTGCGGTCGATGGACTTGTCAACTTTGAAACCTTTTCCTCCTGGACAGCCAGAAAAGTTTGCTTTGTTCTTGGATAAAGTTTTTGGGTTTCAATAAAAATACAGATGAATAAAAATGTCAGAATAAAACCTTTCTCCTCTCCTAGTGAGGCCTTCCATACTAAAAAGTTCACCAACTGGGACAAACCCTCAAAGAAAATGTCTGTTAATATTAACTGGCATTAAATGGTTTCCTATGTAGTGCCAGTTTAGAGTCATCTAGCTTCATGCTTAAAAGAGCACAGTGCCAACAAGGGGGCAGGGGGAGTATGAACTGTCTAGTTTCTTGGACAGACAGAGATTTACATCACAAAATCTGCACTGAGTTGGTAATTCCAGTGAGGAGGACGAGCTAAATTACTTCTTAGCAGGCATGGCCTATGCGTAGTGGTCTCCTGACCGTATTTGCCTAGTACTAGTGGAAATAAATTGTCCTTGTTGATGTTCCTGTGATGTTCTGCAAATAAGCAGGTGCCTCCAGCTCTCATTTCACATGTTTACAGAAGCACTGAAAAGAGAATTGAAAAAGTGAGAGATTTAAGCCTCTCTAAAGGGAAAGGGGTGCGTGGTGAATCTGGGCAGGAAAAGTCAAGAGCTGCAAACCTGCTGCCAAACTGCCCACGACCCTGCCTGGTTTTGGGTGATTTACTCCCAGACTAAAACACGGCCTGTAGGAGAGGAATGGGACTGATAGTACTATCGATCCATTCACACCCTGTTATCCCATCATTACTTCCTTGGGACTTGGGTAAAGTGCGATGTTTCCTATTTGGTGCTGACTGGAGCTCCCCATTTAAAGTATTGAAATTGTCAACTGTGTTGATGCTACCATCAATTTGTTTTAAGTAAATATTTTGAAAACAAAAGGGGGTTTAAACTTCAAAATGTTCAGGCTATTTGGTCTGTGATACTCTCGAGTTGTGTAAATGCATAGTTGGTGCTAATTGCCCTTCCTGCAAGTCCATCATTTGTTTGGGTGGGGGATCGTTGCTGTTGCTTAAAAGAAGAAAAAGAAACTCCTGAGTCGGTGCATCTGATGCTGGAGTGCAATTTTTACTAGCAAATGTGCGTAGAGGCGTTCTCCTAATCAAACACAAGGGCCATGTATGGAACAAATGCTGCGCAGTTGTGCAAGAGTGATTTTTGCCGATCGTGCCGCACAGTTGTGCAAGACCCATTTCTGCCAATCCCCAAAGTTTTCCCCAAATACTTTATTAGGAGCAACTAAGATTTTTCACTTCCGTAACGAATTTTGTAGGGCTGTTGTTATTTCAAGTTCACCACCACAGCTCACCTCCAGTCCGAGGGCATGCAGAGTGTCACAGCAAATTCTGAATAACCATTTGGCTGATTTTTTTCCACTAGTTCTTTGCAGTCGCAGGCACGCCAAGCAATGAACTTGGAGTCAGCTTAGCAAGGGTTCCCTTCTCTTCCCGAGGCAGGTCCGGGGGGAGACGACGTCTGCTGGGGCTTACCGCGGCTTGGCGTCCGCACCCCACGCGGGGAGCTAGCGGGAGCTGGAGGAAAAAAGACCCCACGGCGCTCGGGCAGCCCCTGCGGGTCGTTAAGCGGGAGAGCGGGACAGGTATGTGGGGGCTCTTCGCCGGGCATCCTAAAATGGCTGCCGCAGGAGGCACCTCCTGGGGGTGGTCGGCGGGCTCAGCGGGAGGGGGCAGCTCGCAGGCGAAGGGGAGCGGGCCG